AACGAAGTACAGTAGCGGTCAAATGCGTTCGCCGAAACGATTTTCAGTGCACTATTTTTTCTTTTAAAGGAGGATTGCACGGAAAGAACGAAGGTCGAAGAAGGGAGAAATCGCCTAGTGGGGAGAGCGGTGAATCTCCTTGAGGGTGCGGACAGACGCGCAATTCGGCATCGAAAGATTTGACCTCGGCGATCTAGCATGGCTCAAAGTTGGCGGTTCGGCGATCTCCGCCCACCGATCATCTGATCACTCGCCGTAGTCAATACGTGGCGAGTGATTAGATAGCTGAGAGAGCGTAGTGTTGAAGAGGGCACAGCGATGAGAGTCGCATCAATGCTCAAATCAACGGGCAAGGAAGGGGTCCCATTTCTCGGGTTCTGGGCCGTTTCTCATGGTTTTCCTTCTTTCGTGTACCACTCACCATCCCTAGTTAATTTGAAATGGGTTGCTTTTTCATCGTGAATTCGTCCTTTAAAAGCTTCCCGGTGCTCTTTCTTCTGAACCATCTGCATATCGGAGCGGCGAGTGACTCGCCTTCGAAATGAAGTTGATCGTTGAATTTTTTGGGGCCCAAGACCAGGATTTGAAACTCGCAGTCAGCGCTTTCTTGTCCCCAAATTTGAATAATATCAACAGTTAGCTCAACTCCAGCATGCTTTGGCGGGTCGCTCGTGGCAAGTAGATGCGTAATGTAGTGAAGGAGGTGAACATTTTGCGCGCTGGGGCGTCTATAACGAACTGCGCCAAGCAAATTTTGGAGTTCTGCGCAGCAAATCTCTACCGCCACAATGATGGTCTTGTTGAGGAACCTTCTTGTAGAGCTTTCCTGGCAGTCTTTTCAGTAATGGAAATCCGACCCGCGGGTAAAATCTGGAGGAAATCTCAAGATCGTACTTTTGGTGTAGGAGGTGTACGCTATATACGAAGAATGACGTTCCACCCAAAGTATTGCACCCGTTGGACGCTATCGTGAAGTGTGGCCATAGAGGAATAGTAGGCGATGGCTCGGAAAGCAAATTGACAAGTTGCTGAACTTTTTTGGGCTCTGGTAGACATTGATTCGTGTCTACCCGGTAAATGGAGGCAGCAAGAACGTCCTATGTTTTTCTACCTTTTACCCAAAACTTTTAAGAAAAGAAAAATTTGGAAGGAATATCTCGCAGTACTTCCTTTCCGAGCAACGTCCTTACTTGCCATTAGTTACTTATTTATTCAATTATTTTCTTCATCACTTCGCGATGCCTGCAGCTGCGAAGAGAATAGATTAACACTGACTGGAGCATATAAAAGCAAGGCAAGAAAATGCATACACAGATCAGGGTACGACGATAGCAGATATGAGAAAGAACAGATGTAAGTACGCTCCATCGTGATTTAAAGGCAGCGATTACGATAATTTCAAGGGTTTAGAGGAGACGTGGTGGTGCTCAATGGTACGCCAGTGGCGAAAAAAGCGGAGAAATCCGTCAAGAAAACGCAAAACGGGACCCCCTTTTTGGCCGTTGGTTTTCACTCATGAACAGCTCAGAAAGCGGACGTATGAACGAGTTCAGCGCAACGCGTTTGGTAGCACCATGCCAAACCACACTAAAGTCGAGCAAACCACCAGTTGAACTAGTGGGCGGATCGCTTTTGAGCGGAGTGCTTTCGAAGTCCTGCTCAGCAACCAGCGAACCTTCGTCGTGAAAGCGCTACACCTCGCTTCCCTGGCAGCCAAGTAACTGATTCGTGTGGTGCATATGCTTCCCCGATGCGCTCCCCTTTATCGTAATCGTTGCCTTTAAGAGTCTCATATAACCCTCTTTTTCATTAGTGTTTACGATATCGGGTGTATGATTTTTTCCTCTGAGGCAATTGCATAACAATGATTAGAAGTGAGCAAATAGAGACAATCATCCAGTTTGAATCACTGTGCTTCTATATTTCCGCATTTTCAGCGTCACATACGAGTGAATGACAGTGAAACAGTTATTGAAGACCTGCTGGTGAATGAAACCTACGCATTTTCCGTAATGGCAGAAAATCACGCAGGAAGAAGTCCACCCAGCTCCATGGTTCTACTGAATACTGCAAGTGAGTTGCTTAATTAAAGGCACAACCCAGAAGTCGTGTGGTGATTGTCCCCTGGAGGTCCACCCTCCTTCTGTAGACCCCTAGAGGGCAATCACAAATTTGGCATTCCCGTGCACGCAAATCGATATTTCTTTTCACGAATACGATATCCGGTCTAAGACCCCCATTTTATACTTCAAATTGAGAGAGGCTTGAGGGGCTATTTTGCTGCTGCTTAATCCGTCCAACAGAAGCTTCTCCTTTTTTGAATTTTCGTACTAGTTTGTAGTTCTCGTTCTCTCCATCGCCATCGTGTCGTCTGGGCTCTCATCCGTGAGCTAGCTTCGTCCTGCGTAGAGTCGTATAGTGCTGAATATCAAATGAAAAAATAGAGCATATTCTTTAGAGCTTCACTCAAGATTTGGAAAAGGTCTTGAATAAAAAATCGACTATTCGTTGTGCAAGAAGTGACTCGCAGCCGCGTCACGTAATCGCCCCTGTGCTTAACCTTCTTTTTTGAACTGGAATTCTGCTTTGGAGTAGTGTACCATTCACAACCCTCAACTCCAAGCTAATTGAACTGCACATTTTTTGATTTTTACAGAATTTTGTGTAACAGCCTCATGAGAGTATGTCACCTTTAGCTCAAAGATTAATTTGTTTCAAAAGTGTCTTTTCTAGAAAGGTATTCATCGAAAGTTTATTTCAGTGTTCAAGGAGAAAGAACCAGTCCTGTCCTTCTTCTACAAGACTCTCAGCAACGGAATCACTGTTCAAAGTGTGGTTCTCTTCATCATCGCCTTCTTCCTCATACTTTTCCTGCTGCTCATCTGCTGTGTCGTGTGCTGTAGCATTGGAGTACTACGGAGGAACAACTGCAAATGTTAGTGTTTTACATTCATTAATGATTTACAGTAGTAAACAGATGCAGTATTGTAAGCTCCAAAATAAAATTGGGTTGGTAAATATGCCGTAGCGCTTGTGCTCGGTACAGACGAAAAACATTATATAGAAACTCAGACTTGAAACTAAAGATCTTCTATTTGTCAACATTTGCGACTATGATTTAATTGCGGAAGGAATCACCAGATCTCGTCATAATATAAAAGATCCTCGGCCTATTTTCAAGGTCCTCACTAATCTGGTTTTATAGGACGAAGAGATGATTTTAAACCGGGTGAAAACCAAGGTCGGTTTCTAAGGCGGGATAATTGCTATGGGTTCTGAGAAGTTTTTGCTCGGGAAGTTAATTTTTCTTTATCAAAACTAAAAATAACAGCTGTAGGAACGCCGGCCTTTGCTGCCTGGATTCCCCAACTTTTAGGCGCTATGTTTATGCGATTGATATTGAATTGAAAAATACTAATATGTTAGTATCACTAGTATAGCAGAAAAGTTTTTCAAAAATCACAGTTGGTTGTGAGAAAAAGTTATGTATGCTATACGAAGTTATTACGCAAAACCATGAAAAAAAAACGCCCGATTACACCAGTTATACTTTTAAAGGCAAAAGTCAGGCTCGTGTTTGGGCATTATGGCGCCTGAAATTGAGTGTAGAGATGGGAGGTGGAACGACAGTGAAGAAAAAACGCAAAGAAACCGTCGACAAGACCGAAATCGAAACCCTTCCTTCTAGCAGTGAAGGAGGCTTGCTCGGGGGAGAGCCACGTCCAAACGAGTTTTCCGGATATGCCAGCCAGCCGTTCCATGATACGGCAATCAACCTAGCTGATCTCACACGTTAGGCCAGCCACGCACCACATCCCGCGGTGGGCGGGACCAGCTGATGAAACGAACCCATCGCTGTAAGTAGTAGGCCAGAAGGCCTTGACGGCGCGCAATCTCGAGTCAGGAGTGTGGCATCACCCCTCTGAGCGCATTCCTGGAAATATTAGTGATGGAAAGGCCTTCTATGGTCACCTAATCCTGACTCGTGGCTTTAAAAGCAACAACCCCAGATAAGGGTGTGTGTGGGACAATTCATTTTGTTGGTAGGGTAGAGTTGCCCGCGAGTGTCTATTAGAGAAAAGCCGTTGTCGGTGATTCAAAGCCGCGCGACAATGGCACTAGTTCCTTATAAAGTACCACTTGGCGCCGCACGCTTTGCGCGCACAATCTCCCCCACGTTTTCTCCGGTCTCTGAACTGTCTCTGAGCGATTTATATGCTTGGCGGCAAACCGCGCCCACTTTGGTGCATGCTCCGCCACCATTAGAAGTTCACTTCCTTCCCTTCGCCGGCCTCTATCCACTTTTTCCCGGTTCCGGGAACACTTGGAATCGATTTGTAAGACTGGCAACAAACTCCGCCCTCTTTGGTGTGTCAACCACCTTTTCCCGCTCTCTGAACGTCTATGAAACGAGTGGCGAAGTATACCGGAACTCCGCCCACTTTGGGGCACGCCCCGCCCCCACTAATGGTAGTCGACTTTGTTTCCACCGCTGAATCTATCCACTTTTTTCCCGCCTCAATGACTTGCTCAAACTCAGAACCGAGCTATAGGTTTGGGAAACCGAGTTGTGGAATTTAAGCAAACTCCGCCCACTTTGATGCGAGCCGCCCACCGACGGTAGTTGACCTCCTTCCCTTCGCCAACCTCTATCCACTTTTTCCCAGTCTCCGGGACCTCTTAGAACCGAGTTATTGGTTTGGGAAACCGAGTTGTGGAGTTTGACCAAACCCCGCCCACTTTTGTGCAGACTACGCTTGTCCACCTTTTTTCCGCTTTCCGTGGCTCCTCAGAACCGAAATGTGAGAGACTTGTAGAAATCGCCGTACACTTCAGAGCGCGCTCCGCCCATTCTGGGCGGGCCTCCGCCCACGTCATGTATGCTGGAAACACCTTAGACATTGCTCCCTTACACCAATTGTTTTCTGCTCTGTAGGCTTTCTCCCAACCGAGTTATGAATTTTTCATAAAGCACTGCTTTTTTAGAGAACGCCCCGCCCACCGGGGGTGGGTCTCCCTAATTCGATCTGGCTTACCAATGCACACCTTTACCCACTTTTTGGCCCAGTTTCGAGGCTGTTTTGTCACTGAATTTGAAATCTTGGTCGTCAGTACAGTTCATTTCGACGCACGCCACGCCCTGTGGGCGGGGCTCCGCTTAGCTGATGTGTGTTTTGTACTTCGTGAGACCTTGCCCACCCATCCCACACTTGACCCGGTCCCTCCAGGCGGATCCCGAGGAGCTAGGGAATTTCGTGACAGACATACAGAACGACAGACGAAGCGCTTTATAGTAAGTAGGATAGAATAATGGATACGTGCGCGCGCACTCTTGTGGATGCCAACGTGGACTGCGGACCTAACGGCTATTTTCGAACATTGCGCGAGTAGTGAGAGCACGGGGTAAACAGCTCACAAAACCCGTACAGGCATGCCCTCCCTCCTCTGAAAAGGGAAAGGGATCATGTTAAGGGCATTAATGGCGTTTTCCTTCGCTCTTGGCCATTTATGGATAACTCTTCACCCACATCTTCATAACCGACCGCTGTTGCCCCATCGACTTCATCCAGGATTGTTGCTTCGGAAAAATGTCTCGCGGTAGCGTCGTAGGTTGAAGGAGGGAAAACATGCCATCTCGAAAGGCAGGCACAGCTGGCATGGTCGTACATTCAATGCTTTTCGCAGAGAAGAGTATGTCTCCAGCGGCCTACCGATAAGAGTCTCAATGTGGAGACCAGCGGGGGGGGAGGGGCTCTATCTCAAAGTTCTGGGTCGTTACTCATGGATTTTCCTCATCCCTTTCCCAATGACCACCTCTGCCTTGATTTCTGATAGGCTGCTTTTCATCGTGGACTCCATCTTTGAAGTGCTCGCTATTTTCTGAAAATTGTTATAGGAAAGTTCTAGACACAATCCATATGAACTTCGGACCTGGAAATAGGTTGAAGGTACTAACCTCTGCCACACTTGTAGGGGAAATATCTGAAAATACGATGTCGAATTAATGTGAGAGATGTTCCTGGATTTGTAATGGTAGGACTAATACTGACTAGGCAATGTTATTCAGATTCAATTTTGTGTGTACTCGACTCTTACTATTACATATCAATGGTCCATTGGACATTACATTTGAACGTTTTGCCTCATCTAACCTTACGCTACCAAAAGATGCCATTTCAGTCTCGCGATCTCCATCATCTGCTAACGGGAAGTTTTTGGACACTTCCTATCGAATATTCAACGAGCAGAAGGTGCACAAGTCTCGAATTAGTGAGGATCCTGTGAGCTTGTTTGGTACCGGGGACCACGACGAACACTCACCCTTGAGAGAAGTAAGTTGGACTCACCTTTATTGTTTTCGAGCATCTGAAATTGGACTGCCCTCTCAGACAGGTATTGGTTCCGTCAAACCATAGCCCTTTCCATTTGCTGCCAGCTGTCTAGGCAGCTATGCGAAAGAAGTTAGTGCAGTAGTAGAATTACATGTGCAAGAAACTTTTTTGCCAAATTGGTCTCCAAAGCAGCTGAGCCACAGCAGGTCACAAGGACTCTATTACAAAGGCTTTTTTGGTGGAACTCATGCTAGAGGAACTAGTTTACCCGAACTTCAATTTTCTTCCTTGATCTACTTTTTACCCGAAAGATGAGAAATATGCGTTCAGAAGCAGGAAGAAGACCCCTCCGAATTCCCAAGGAGGTTTGCCTACTCAGACGCTCTACCCAATCTGTACGGTGAAGATACAGACGACGTCGATGACAAACGTTCAGCAGCACCGCATCATTCGTTATACGTCACTTCTAGTGAGTAACTGTTAACGGAGTAAAAGAACATTATTTCAACAGTGAAATTAGTACCTCCAGGTGTTCTTATGGATGGAGCCAAAGCTGATGACAGTCACTATCATCATAGTGGATCATCACATGAAATGCTCTTTCCATATGGTGCTGAAACAATGTTCAATTCTTCCCCACAGGTTTGTCAATGTGCATCAATTTGAGCACAAAACTCGACACACGCGTTTTATTGAGAACTCTTAGAATCTACTGTTCTTTCACGAAGGTTTGCAGTATAAATGGTTGTTCAGATGAGTGCTTCGCAACGCTTCATTGGAGCCAAAAATCCGGACTCATACTTCTCCTCGACGGCTGACACTTCATCATCCCTCACTGACACCCATAGCACAGGGTTAAATTTCACGCGAACAGCATGTGAATCGTCTTTGCAGCCACGGTTAGTCTTTTCCTCTATCATTGTAGCCACCATAGTCAGCAATGGTTTGTGGTTGTGACGATTGCGAGAGCAATCCCCATTCGCCCGGACTATATTCAACAAAGGGGGTCGCATTTTGATTTTGGATAGGGGGCTCATATTGGGGATGAGCGAGGCTAATTACCTCTGGGAGAAGTGTGAGCTGGGGTTGTGAAAAGGGGGTTGCAACAGAAATGTTTTTCGACATTTTTGATGAGAACTTTAGGAACGAAGCCTGAAATGCAAGAAATCCTCTTTTTCTAATTCTTCTCCCCTCTTCTCGACAGCGGTTTCGGAGGGAAAAGTGGGCGGATAGATTTGGAACATGTCGAACTGGTGCCGCAGTCAAATACTCTGGAACTATGGTAACAATCGTGACGGTGAGGGTGGTGATCAGGGTAGGGAGGAGGGGTGTCGTATCGAGGAAGACTCCTAAGGCTGACAGTAGTGGTGAGACATGGTGCGCATCGACCACCCCCAAACGGGGATTGCAAAATTTTTGGAGAAGTGCTAAAGCGACTGTAGACGCTGCACGCTGTTCGGCCCGATTGCGTCCGCATGGTGATTGCTGCCTTTGGGTGTCCCCCAACAGGCCCACCGCGCGGCGAAGCAAGAGACGCAGATGCGGCAAAGAGACGAGTTGCAGCGCGTGCTGTGCGATATGAGACGTAGTATGGTACACTCTCTTTAACCTGACGCCTAACCGCTACAGTATGCGCTGCGACTCGTCCCTTTGCCGCGTCTGCGTCTCTTCCTTCGCCGCGCGGCCGTTGAGGCACACCCAGCCACGGCATACGTCTAGTTAGGCAGCGTAAAAATTCTGCAATTGGTATGTATACGAAGATTTGTATGTAAGTTTCATATACTACACATATTCGACGAAGCCCTAGTATGCAACTTGTTTCTTGATTCGATAGTGTCCAATTTCATGCGTTGTTTTCTGTTTTACTGATTTCTTAGTCCATGCCGCTGAGCGTTCGCGTTTCAGGCGAGATGGCAGCGATCCGGGCAGTTTGCGAGGCGGAGGAATGTCTCGTAGCAGTCACGTCTCATCGCCAGATGTTCCAAAAATGTCAATGCAGACATTCATGTCATCCTAGACGTAATCTGATGTTCCCCTCCGATGGTCGAGCTGAGTGTCAAACTGCTATGGAACATCGTCGCCGTTGGGGTGAAGAATAACTACTAGCAGTGAAATTTCCTTGAAAAACCGAGTAACGTCAACCGTAATCGCGTCATCACCTCGTGCCATCGTTGAGTTCATTAACATTTTGTAAAGAAATATCATAACTGTAATCATCATCATCTGTGCATCATTGATCTCAATATTGTTATCGATCACCTTAGCCTTGCGTTCCTGTAATCTCTTATACTTCGATCGTTCGCCATTATGATATAACTTTGAAATTTAATACTATAATTTTGCTCAGACTTAATTCGAACAACATGGCGTAAATATTGAAGGTGAGGATAGAGAAAACTGAAAAAGCAGATAGAGTGTGATCCAAGGATTTGATTACACTCTCAAAGGCAAACCTCAGGATAAACTAAGCATGGAAAGTCCTTCAATGATGAAGCTGGTGATGGGAAATGGCTTACAAAAGAAAAAAAGCAAAAAACAACTCACGACTGTCTGAGCACCCGAGCAAAGTTGCAGTCTCAGCTCCACCCTCCTTGAGATGGAGAAGGGGCGTGTTTGGGCTACTTCACAACCAGCTAGCTCCAGTTTGCTCCAGTACCAACCGTCTCCTGCTACTGCAACGACTGTGGTCTTCTCACAGCGGAAGGCGGGCTTTGGGAACGAAGGTGCGGATTGCTTGTCACCTGCCTGTTGCCAGGGAACTTCTATCGTCTTTGTCCGCAAAAGAGGAATGAAATCAACGCTTGTCCGCCTATTTAACACGATGAGATTGGAACAGGTTAGGGTATCCAGTCCCAGGCCGCTCCTTTAATTTATCACTACCAAGACTTCTTCCCTCTAAAGAGATTTTAAAAGAATAGCCATTCACACACCTGACTCCAGTTCGTTTATGCTCTCCTACAACGTTGCAAAAAGAACACGCCAGTGACGGTTATCCTAGGTAACAGTCCATACACTCAATGCTTTGCAATAATTACACATTCGCCTATGAGTTTTTTTTTTAATTTTCCTCCCAAGATGTATTCGATGAAATTCTCAAGTCGAAAAATGTTATCGGTTATAAAATGCCTATTTGCCAGCCAGCACAAAGTTCCTAGATCGAATTTTAAAGAAGTTTCTGGGCAATTTCTCGAAAAATCCGCTCTGGCCTATTCCGCATAATTATACATACATCTACTCCATGCTTTCTTGCTGCTTTTCTTTTCTGCTCGATTAACTTTTTTATTGTTATCAACAACTCTTCTTTGGGTGAAAACGAGAGGGAAATCGTCATCAGAATTCAATAATCCATTTCGTTATTATCTATCGGGCAAAACCCAAAGATAAAGAAAAACAAATATAGGCAAATGATAACAAAAATCGTAAGAGTTGAAAAGCAGTCACACTGCACGAACTTTCGGCCGAGTTTTCTTAGGAGTAAACAGTTTCTCTAAGCATTTTTTCAGGATATGGAGTAGAATTGAACCTTGAAGAACTTTCTTGCCTTCTGACTGAGACAAACGCCGCCTCATAAGAAAATCAAACAGTTCCATCATGTTGTGCTTGGAAATCGAACCTTATTCTCCAACGGCATGCCTTTTTCGGCATGTGTGAAGAAATGCAAGGCTTCATTTACGATGGAAATGTAAATCGCATAGATTATGACAATAAAAGAGCACAAAACGAGTGAGATCGCGGTTTGACCTGATCATTGTCTTACTATTTTGCTTTCTTCTGGACGCCTTCATACGGTGAATGATACGCCTTCGCAGTTACGAAAAAGTTTATCATGAGTGCGAGGAATGTTCCGAGAAAGCGTAAAAAATAAGGCAAAAAACCGAGCTCACCACCATCGGCTCTGCTTCACCTCTTGACAAAACCGTCTCCGTTTTTGGGATCCCCTTTTTCTAACTCTAGGAGAGCTCTAGGGATCTAATCCCGACCCGTGGCTTTGAAACAGGAAGCGTTTTCCCCCTTTGTGTCAGATATTGGTAAAAATGATTGATGACACCATGGTAAATGAAAGAAGAGATTAAAAGAAGCTGTTTAGCTTGTGGAAGTAAATGGAGTAGTTATACATAGACGAGGGAACTACTGCAACGAAAAAGGACTAGTAAAAAAGTGCTGCGCCTTCAGACAAAATTTTACTGAAAAAAAAATTGAAATCCCTTTTACTTGTTTTTGCGTTTTATTAGGCACCTTCAAGGACACGCTTGAGGGTACAAAAAGGTATCGTGCAAGGTTCTATTCTATTAGTTTCTCTAACTCAAGCCATCTTAAACTGTTGCGTATTATACAAGGCCATTATGTTTAATTCATCGCAGCTAACAGCTGTGCTGCATTTATGGGATTTTCATTCATTGCCACAATTTTATGGTCCCAATCCAATAAGTTCGGCCAAGATAATGTCGCCTCGCATATACGGGGGTGACCAAAAAGGAGACACTTTGTTCATGACAAGCTACCTCGCACAGGGTGCCGTGGTCCATAAAAGTTTTTCGGCAAAATATTCCAAAAACTTCTTTCAATAAGCAGATGAAGGCCCTCCTTCCCTGACTCCGCCGTTTCAGAATGACGTCATCTGCCATCGATGTCGAAATTAAGGAGCCCTACCATAATTTCTCCAGCCTGAGATACCTGATTTGCTTCCAACGACTCCTTGGAATAGCAGATTCCTTCATTCTGCCAAGGAAGAGTAGCTCTAATTGTTCAGGATCCCTACCGAACAGCATTTCAAGCAACGCCAACAACGACCTCGATCCTTCAAAAAATCCTATTTGCTCAACCTTTGCATCAATATTCTCAAAGCAGATTCTTCTGATGTCACCGTGTTAGCCTTTCATCGATTCATCCAATAGGAAGGAATGTGCGCGTCTAGAAGAAGTTATACGATTTGAGTATGGCGAAATATTATTAAAGGAAGCGATTACGATAAAGAGGGAGCGCATCGGGGAAGCATGTGCACCACACGAATCAGTTACTTGGCTGCCAGGGAAGCGAGATGTGGCGCTTTCACGACGAAAGGTGCTGGTTGCTGAGCAGGACTTCGAAAGCGCTCCGCCCCCAAAAGCGATCCGCCCACTAGTTTACTTGTTGATTTGGACGAGCTGCGTGCCAGCAGCGGCGCAAATGGAGCATCTCGATTAAAGCGTAGTTTGGCATGTGCCATCGCGTTGCGGTGAACTCGTTCATACGTCCACTTTCTAGCTGTTACCTGTTCATGAGTGAAAACCAACGGCCAAAAAAGGGGTCCCGTTTTGCGTTTTCTTGACGGATTTTTCTGCTTTTTTCGCTACTGGCGTACCATTGAGCACCACCACGTCACACTAAACCCTTCTTGAATTTATCGTAATCGCTGCCTTTAATCCATGTTTAAGCTCAGAAGTGAAGAGAAGTGTATTTTGGCCACCCTGTGCATAGTGAAAGAAACAAGGAAGTGAAAAGACAGGTTTTGCGTTTTCACAATGTGGTGGTGAACCGCAATTTCAAATTCTTCACCCTGAAGCAGGTTTTTTGAGCATGGTGTGAAAGCCTCTGCTACAGGCTGGCCACAGATTACGGTAGCAATATGAAGTGATCGTGGAAAACTTATACAGCTGAATAGACAACCGGAAAACACAACTATATTGACTGATGGTTGACAAGCATAAAACAAGGATTTCTCATATACATTGGCATTACCAAAGGAGCGATGTATTCTGGCCTGACTCACTCATCGCAGCATGTTGCTCAAGAACAGCGATTTCATCTAAGACAGGAGTTACAATTCGGTCTTTCCGCGCTTATGAGCCTCCATCTTGAGAGGCTCTCTGTTCCTCTAAAACCTAACAGTTGGTCTTATCTCCGTTTAGTTATAAACATACTGCGGTTGCTCTAGTTACCGTAAGGCCCTCTGTACAGCTTGGTGTCAAACAGCGCATTGGTTTCATGAGATAGTGACGTGTGTTCTTTGACATCAAGAGGCTTAGAATCGTGAAAAGGGCAGGGTATAGAAAAATTGGAGGAATGTGATATGGGAATACTGAATGAAGCACATATTCACACATATTGATTCGCACTCATATGGGGCGATTTGGATCGCAAAGTGTTCCCATACATATTAGCCATGCTGATTGTGCTGACTGTGAGACAGAAACGTCCAAAACATTGCCCTCTGTGGCAATCAATGCAATGCTCCTTATCTCTGAGGACGACCAACCAGTTCAAATTTGCACATTTATAGTGTCTTTCTGATAATTCTGTTCTACCACGGGCGCTTTATGTTGGGTTTTTTAAGCTACCTATAAGTATCATGGAGATGACGCAATGAGTAAGTGACAGTTTTGAGTCTACTCAACTTATCCATAGGCCTAATCACTGCAAGCGTACAGATATGGCTTGGTTTTTCTGC